CCAAGTCTTCCTGACTTCAAGTCTAGCTTTCTACCCACTATACCACACTGGCTCTCCACACAGAGTGAAAAAGAGAGAAGCTAGGGAATACATGTAACAACAACTTTAAGCTGATGTTACATATACATTCAGAGTTGGAAAGGACCTTGATAATCACCTGAAAAATAATGCCCTCCACAATAGCATGGCAAAGTAGACTTAGAGGGTTGGACCTGGAGTGAGGAAGACTTGGGTTGAAGGTTGAATTATTAAACTAAATATAAGACTGAGATCATGCCTAGATACAAGAATCCTGACAAAATTAGACCTCTGTAACATCAGGGATTTCCTAACACAATAGCTTATCCCTGGAGCTAGTGGCAGTGACTTCAGTTCCTCTAAGGCTGTAGGGATAGTTGTGAAGCCAGCCTAGTTAGCCTTCCATACAATGGACTGCTTTAGGTCCCCTGAATGAGTGTCTATTCTAAGAGCCTCGGTATCCAAGACTTGTCATTACCTGTTTAAACATTCAACAATTCAATAAGCATGTATTATTGCCTTCCACGCATTTTGCATAGTGCTAAGGATACAAAGACAAAAACAAAAGTCTTTGCCCTCAATAGCTTTGCATTCTGTTGGGAGGTAGCAAACTACAGGTACACAGATAAGTAATGGAGGGGCAAGGGCATGGGCAACTAAGCATTGTATTGATGACATTTAAACTGAGCCTCGAAGGGGCCTAAGAATTCTAAGAGGCAGAAGTGAGGAGGAAGGGCATTCCAAGCATAAAAGGGACAGCCTGTGCAAAAGCACAGGACAGAGATGGATTTTTTTTTAATGGGGAACAGCAATAGCCCAATCTGATCAGAACACAGAGCACATGAAGGCGAGTAATCATCATGTAATCACGGTTCTTCTGTACCAACATTTCTTGTGTCCCAAATTACCTTCCTTCCAATATATCCATTACTATCAATGACATCACCATTGTTTGATTCTCATAAGACTTCCCACATAGCAGATGTATTTTATACCTCCTTCTTCCCACAAAACTAACCCAATCACCAAGTCCTATTAATTTTTCTGTTACTGTGTGTCTATCTCACTTACCCTCTATCTGTCTCAGTTTCCTCAACTGTAAAATGAGGGAAATACTAGCATCTACCTCCCAGGGTTGTTGTTGTGAGGATTAAGTAAGGTAATATTTGTATAGTACTTAGCACAGTGCTTGGTACATGGTGCTTAATAAGAAGATTAAATGAATGAAACAATTTATACAACAATAACATTGTAAAGACAAAAAACTTTGAAAACCTTTAAGAACTATAATCAATATAATGATCATCTGTGATTCCAGAGGACCAACAATGTAAGAAACTGTCCATCTCCTGACAGAGAAATGACAGAATCAGGGTGCAGAATGAAACTTATTTTTCTTAATAATGGACCATAAGGGAATTTGTTTTGCTTGACCTTACATATTTATTGCAGCGAATTTTTCTTCACCACCACCCCCCATGGGGTGAGAGGTAGAAAGAAGAGAAAATGGATTTTTGTTCATTAAAAAAAGAAAACTTTAATTGAAAAAGACAATATCAAACAGGAATAAAACTCAAGTTAAACACAATAGACAGCGCGACATAGTACCATTCAATAACCTTTCAACAAACAGTTCTTTAATGTTATTTTTCTCACTTGTTTTCAGGAGGTAAGTCTGTAAACTTAGGTTTGTCTGCTGCGTTAAATCAAAATTTATCAATAAAATTAGTTATTTATAGATGATCTAAAAATAGTGATTCTTCATGTCCTCATTTTCTACCACTCCACCAAAGTCACTGCAGGAATAGAGGAGACCTACATAAGACTCGGGGATCATTTTAAACTTTTTCTTTGTTTCATTTTCAAAAAAATCATTGCCTAGGGACCACCCTGCATTTTCTTTAGATGTAGCTGCATTGGTTCCCAGATAGCAGATTCTATCTGTTGCCCAGGCTATCCTCAGGCTTCCCCATTGTGGAAGAACCTGACAGAACTTGCTCTCACTGGCGTAGTCTTTGAGAACAGTCATCTCCATGCTTCAATAAGGCAGCAGAGTAGGATTTTGTAATGGCAATATAGGTATTATTGGAGAAATGCAGCTTGGTGATTATTCCTGGAGGTGCTACAAGACATAAGTATTGATGACCAAGAAAAGAAATTTCATATCACCAAAGTCCTTGGCATCGTCAAATGGGTCAACATCAGAGACTGATATTATTTTATCAATAGATATGACCTTAAAGAAGAAACATGACACCTGCTTTGCCACTACCCCCAAAGGAGCATGGGACCTTTCCAAATGACTTGTTGCTTTCATATATCTTGCCTCCCTCATCAGAATGTGAGAGCCTTAAAAAGCATGGACTACCTTACTTTTCTATTTGTCAGAGCTTAGCTCAATGCTTTGCATATGAGAGCTTAATAAATGCTTCATTCTTTCATTCATTCATTTATGCTCCAAGATGTTATAGTGTAGTACTTTTCCAATGCACCAAAACAGAAGGTAGCTCTCTTGATTCAGACACAAAGAAGAGGACCTTGAGAGAAATGATTATTAATAACCAAAGATTTGAGAACATCCAGAGCTGCCCCTTTTTCTAAAGTTCTCATTTCAAAGGCTCAGTTTCTGAAGGGCGTTACTAATGAAGAAATTGGATTAACTTTCTTAATAATCTTGCTTAAACCCCACCCAGGTGGAGAAGCCCATTGTGCTCTACTCAGGTTTGGGTGAGGATAAATTCTTTTATTAGATTACCCAAGGCTGGGGTTGTTAGAAGTAAATGACATAACCAAAGTTCTTTAGAACAGGTCCAGCCCCTCACTGTAAAGTTCATTCTCTCTCATTACTTGTTAAACAATCAGAGTTGATTGCCACCCTCTGTAAAATCCACTTTTCCAAGGCCATATAAGCTGTGCACCTGCCCTATGATTGTCTTTGGCATTCAAGAGTGTCACTGACCTCTTTTATTGAAATGCTAACATTATTAATAAAATGATGACTTACCCAGAAATTATGTCTCTCAAACTTTTTAATCATCACAACCTCAAACTCCCAATTAGATGTGCCTCTTCAGTGATGAGGGCATTGCTGTTGTTGGCACCATCAGACCAGTATTTATAGTATCCTGTTGCAAACCTATGAAAGCATTTTCACCAAGTTTGCCCAATTGTCCTGAGCTTTCTCTTAGGTGAAATTCCAGGGATTCCTACCTACATGTCCTTAATCTAAATGAAAGTGAAATCCTCTTTGATTAAGGATAGTAAAACCTTGGTACTAGAACTTCATAAGATTTTATTTCATCTCAGGGTCTATCACACATTTCCTTCAAAATGCTCAGAATTCTCATATGAAGAGGCTAAATATGTCACATACAATGGAACAATAAAAAGAACTAGACTTTCAGTGATTCTGTCTCTTCTCAGAATTAGTTCTGACTTAGGGTTTGGGCTTGGCTTTACCCCTCTTAAAATTCTCTCTGCTGTTCAATCCGTCTGACCCTATCTGCCAAGGACGAGGAGGAGGGGGGAAATGGGAAGAAGGAGTATTAAATAAGAAACCAAGAAGCATTCAAAGAACAAGCACTGTTGATTTCTTCTTGCATGCAGAACATGAACAGTCAAAGAATTATGAAAAAGTATATACAGGAAATAGAAGACCTACTAACTATTTTCAAGTATCCTCTGATCTAGCTACCTGGGGGCTGTGTCCAGTCATCTGGACCTAGATGGCTCAAGAGGAAAAAGTGAGGCTGGTGACTTTGCACAGCCCTCCCTCACTTAAATCCAATTCATTTGCAAGGCACAGCATCACCTTCCTGATGTCATGGTCCTCTTCAAAAATGAAGGACAAATGACAACAGCAAGTGGTCAAAAAAAAAAAGCAGGATCTAGAATCAACTGAGACCTTGCTAGTTGTGTGACCATAGGCAAGGGTCATTTACCTCTCTGCCAGGCCTCTTTTCTGGTCTGTAAAATGAGGACACAGACTAGATGAACTCTAAGGGCCCTTCCAGATTTAGATATGATACTGTGATTGATTCAGTTCTGGAAATTATTGCTGGAAAGAGACAAATTCTTCCATTCTCATAAAGTACCTGACTTTTGGTTCATCTTAGCTAATAATAGCTAGCATTTACATAGCACTTTAAGTTTTGCAAATTACATATACAGTAGTATTTCATTTGATCCTCAAAATATTGCTGTAAGGTAGGTGCTATTATTTTTATTATAGTAGTGCTATTTTACAGATAAGTAAACTGAGGCTGAGAAGTTAAATGACTTCCCATAGCTCTACACAACTAGCAAGTATCTGAAGCAGGATTTAGACTCAGGTCTTTCTGATTCCAAGTTCAAGACTGTACCATCTAGCTACCTATGCCTTTGAGGGCATCTCCATTTTCAACACGTCATTGAATTGCTCTCTTTAAACATCTGAGTAGGTCTACTAAGTCCCTGGTATGTCGTCTCTACTTTGGGCTTTTTTGCCCAGTAGTGTCCAGGAGGGATCTAGCTTTGGCTTGCTTTTTTTTCTATATAAACAGATAGAAGAGAACTTTTTAAAAGTATGGAGGGAACTGTGATACCACCAAACCAGAGTGAAAATTCTAGAATTCTCATTCTGGCTATTTTTTTTCTTAGTGTAACACAATCACAAATTTTCTATACATGGGCACAGCCCAGGACAAAGACATGCAAAAAAAGAAACAACACAAGATAGTAACTACTATTATTCGATCAGAAAGCCCAACATATAGCAGCTCCATCGGCTCAATAACTCCCCAGTTTGAGAATAAAATAAGTCATTTAGATCATGGTAATGCTCTGTTGCTCACACTATCACTTTAACAAACAGGTAAAATCATTACTTATCTAGAAACTCTCCCATGAGGGTTAATGGTCATCATATGTTCATTAAATCTGGACCCCAAGAATGGTTTCCAACCCTACCCAGATGATACACAGCACATAAGAGAGCAGTTTGGAATATAAATTTATTCAATACTGAGACTAACCCTATGAGAGAGGTTGGGGATATGGAAAGAGAGGATAGAAGGATGGAAGGATGGAGAAGGAGAAAAAGGACCATCAAGTCTGTGAATCCTTGGAGGCAGGGCAGGTAACTTTCTCCACTGGTAACCAAAATATGCTCTTCTACAAATTATCCTGCAACACAGAAAGGATAGAGGGAATTATGTTATGCGTGTACAAACAACTTGAGGCTGAGATTAATAAATATTTGTCAAGGTGAAGATAGTATATGTCACTGAGGAAACTTCATAAAACTATAAGTGATATGAAATTGGCACAACTAATTTCTTATTACATTTTGGTAATAATCCTCTTTCCAAAGAGAACACCAAAGATTTAAATTAGAACTAATTAGTCTCCCCAGAAATAACCTTTGAATTCTCCTTCCCATTCAACCTACATAAGAAGAAGTAAGAATAAACCCATTAAAATGGGGCTAGATTGCACAAATGCCTTCTGCTTCCCTAGAACACTGGCTTAAGATAATGTACTGTGATGTTTTTAGACGGAAATTATCTGACCCCCTGTTTCTTGGTGTTCATATAGACCACCAAAATGTCTGAGCCTTTTCATTGTTCACTAGAAGGTAGAGGTGTCAGATAACAAATAGTACCCACTTTCTGATATGTTCAGAGCAGACAAATAAAAATTGGTTGGACTCCTTTGAGGATCTTAAATAAAGAAATCCCCATCATGGATCACTACTGAAAAATAGAATTGAGAGTAAATGCCACAGAGACCAACTATTACCTCCAGAACAGGATAAAAACCTGATGTGCCTCCTAGGAGGGGAGTCTAAAAGGTAACTTTCCTATGCTACCATTTTCTAAAGCTTCCTCTCACTGCCCTCAGTGGACCCAGGAGGCTAGCAGAATATGGGAGAACACCTCCTAGACAGTGCTTAGAATGAAGAGAAAAATAAAGTGAGATGGTTTGCCCATGAGTAAAAGATAGCAGATGGAAAAAAGGTTTCATAGTTCCCTAAATATAAATGGAATAGATCCCACCTCTCCCTTTCTTCCATATACAAGCACTGCTCCACCTGTTCCACTTCATCAGAATCCATACTTGTTGGTTATAAATTCCTTCAAAGAGCAGAGTACACCCTCCAGAAATTCCCTAAATATAAATGGAATAGATCCCACCTCTCCCTTTCTTCCATATACAAGCACTGCTCCACCTGTTCTATTTTATCAGAATCCATACTTGTTGGCCATAAATTCCTCTAAAGAGCAAAGTACACCCTCAGACATTTTTCAAAGTTATTCCTAAGAACATCTCAACATTTTCAGGGTTAGAACATTTTCTCCTTAAGCTTTGTTCCTTGCCATATATAGGGACAAAGGGAAGAAAAAAGAAAAAAACTTTTCCCATCAAATGCCAAGCAGTTATGTTGTATCATTATGGTGCCAGCGTCTTGGGCTGCAGAAGTTATGTCTCTCTTGCTATCGATTCCAATGAATAACAGTGATACAAAGGGATTCACCTTCTTCAACATCTTCACACATGTATCTAAGAAATGAAAGAAAAGTCAATGAGAGGCAGAGAGAGTAAAGGGGTTCCAGAATCTAGAAAGGCTCCAGTGTTTCAGAGTAGGGTTATTCTTCCCCCAGGAAAGATAAAAGCGTTTTTACCATCATAGATCAACATGAATACATTATCCCTGGAGATCCCAATTTGTTCACTAATTTCTCTTAATCTCTTCAAACCTTTATCAGTGTTCTCCAGGGTTCGACCTATGAATAAAGTACATAACATATACATTGCTTAGAACTGGGGAACCATTTAAGGATAGCAAAGAACCAGGGATAGGCAAATGTCTTACAAAAGGAGAAAAGAAGGAATCATAATGCTAAGCAGCCAATGCTCCCAATGGTAAGATGTTAAAATAAAATATCATCCTGGAAACTGGGCTAATTGTGGAGCAAAGAATGACAATCATCCTTCTTCATCAGAAGTTATATCACTGTTGCTTATACAGAGTGCCCCACTGGCTTCCCAAGATGGGGACCACTAATTCTCTCCCTCCCTTCTGGACTACAGAGAAAGGAAGGTTAAGTGTTCGGGGAACAGCAAGTGTAAAACCCCGATCTAAGAAGTTAGAAGCTGGTCTTAAAACTGAAGAAGGCTATTTGTGCTACATTCCTCCCCTCCCCAATCCATGGCAATCAATATTTGAGACCAAGTGGAGGCTTAGCCTCATTGAGGACAGACTGATCATTCTGCTTTTCCATCAGTTTTTCTCAGATCTCCCATATCTGCTGTGTTTCCAATGTGGTCACAATCCCCTCTGACTCCAGCTCTGTGGTCCCAGCACGTACTGAAAAACTTCAAGGCACTAAGTGTCATCCCGTTCTTTAACATGGAAACATTCACTATGGCATAAGTCTTATAGTCTGTCTCTACCACGTATGCTTCCCTAGACCCTGTAAAAGAAAACAAAAGAGACATTAGCCTTTATTGTTTGAAATAACTGAGCTGAAAACAAAGCAACACAACATAGACAATGGATGGTAAGAGGAGAGGTGCATCAAATTCACAAAGGTGGTAAAAGATGAAAATATTCAAAGGTGGTAGGGCTATGTGAATTGAGGGACACTAATACACTGCTGGTGAAACTAGGAATTGGCTTGTCTGTTTTAGAAAGCAATAAGAGACTATACAATAAACCAGTATACAATTAAAAGTCACCAAAAATGTTCCTACCCTCTGACCCAGTGAACCATCTCTCAGTTTTATACCCTAAATAAGGAACTAATTGACAGGAAGGAAAGACTTATGTATACAAAAGTATTCAAAGGAGCAATGGTTATAATAGGGGGGAAAAGCTGGGAACAAATTATGTGTTAAATAATTAAGGAATAACTAAATAAATTGTGGCATCTGGATATAAGGGAATATTATTATTATGTGTATAGAGATATATGAAGAATTCAAAACACACAGAAAGACCTAAAGCAATACAGAGCAATAGAAGCAGAGCCAAAAGAACTCTAGACTTTCTGGTTACAGTCCCATAAATAAAGAGCATCTTAAAACACAATCAAACCCAGATTAAACATGAGTGGCATTACTAGTTACCTTGTTAAAACTCAAACACAGCCTTCTTTCAACAAACAGTTAATAATAAAAGTACAAGGTTGCTTGCACAATCATTTGCAACCATCCTTTTGTATTATTTGGTTTAATTGCTTTCCAACAATCATCTTTTTTTTTATTTGTTCATTTTTTGTTTTCTCTTTTCTAAAAATAAAATTCATCAATTAAAAAAAGTGGTGGAATGCTATCCTCTTACTTTTCCTGTTTCTCTAAAGCAACTGAGAGTATGAGGACCTCTCATCTCAACTACCCAGATTTGGAATTCTACCAGTCATTTGCTACCCTAGACCGTGGCTACTGTACTTATTTGCCAAGCATGTGGTCTCTGAATTCCTCACCTCACCTGTCCCCACCTAGAAGCCTTAGAAATATAGGCAGACTCTAACGTGGGCAAAGTTTTTGGTAAGGTTATGTGAAATGATATATACATGCAGTAGCATACTGAAAAATGAAGTGATGCAGGAGCAGTAATATTGTAACAATGATCAACTGTGAAAGACTCAACTACTCTGATCAATACAATGATCCAAGACAGTTCCAAAGGACCCATGATGAAAAACACTATCCATCTCCAGAGAGAGAACTGTTGAACTGAGTGTAAATTGAAGCACACTTTTTTCACTTTATGGTTCTTGATTTCTTTTTTTTTTAACAACATGACTAATATGGAAATGGAGAGATAGTGGTGCAATGGATAGAGTGCAAGACCTGGAGTCAGGAAGATTCATCTTCCTGAGTTCAAATCCAACCGCAGATACTTACTAGCTGTATGACCCTGGGCAAGTAATTTTACCTTGTTTGCCTCAGTTTCTTCATCTGTAAAATGATCTGGAGAAAGAAATGGCAAACCACTCCAGTCTCTTTGCCAAGTAAACCCCAAATGGGGTCACAAAGACTTGGACACTACTGAAAATGACTGAACAACAACAAAAAAATGGAAATGTGCTTTGTATGACTTAACATGTATAATTGATAGTGCATTGCTCGCCTTCTCAATGGGTGGGGGGGAGAGAGGAGAGAGAGAAAGAAATTGAAACTTAAAAAAATTTTAAATAAATGCAATAAAGAAAAGAAAAAGAAAAGTGAATGATTTCTCAGTCATAGAAAGAAATGCAACCTAGTGCTCCAGCTGAGGTGGGGAGAGAGGGTTGACAAGTTTACCCCCAAGCAAATTAATTTCCAAAGAAGTTTCTTCCAGGTGGGCTGAGTTGTTGTAAAGTTGGTGGCAGAATTCTTAAATTTTGAGGAAAGGAATGTCCTCCCAAGCCTAGAGGGTAGTGCTAGATTTCAAAATAGTAAGGAAGGAACTTCAAGAAGCAACTGGGCACCATTTATCTGCCTGCTCCTTGCCCCAATGCTCCCCACTCCATTCCTTGGCAGCTGATTAAACTTCTGCCTCTGCCTATACAGGTGATCCTCTTTAATGACCTTGCCCCAGTTTTATTCAGACCCTTTTTCTCTTCGTGCAGACCTCATTACAAGTGGTCTGATTAGTCTCTCAACCAAATGGACTATAACCATCAAATCTAAGAGTGTAACCAGAGTACCATTATTGAATTCAAAAGGGAGAGCATAGCTGAGTCCGATGTTGGGAGGCCTAAATCAAAAATTAACCCAGTAGAAAGGAGGGTTAAAAACCGTACATGAGTGTGTGGGGAGAACTAGTGACCACTTGTTCCAATAATCCAGGACCTTGGAGATGTTTTATTTGGGATTTTTAGGGGGAGGAAAAGTAGAGAGAACTGTAAAGGGAGGAGAGATAAGTGAAATGGAAAAGAAGGATTAAAAGCCTGATTCTTCCAGAGCATAAAGGTAACATGATACAGTGGAAAGAACTGGCTTTGCAGTCAGAGGATGTGGGTTCAAATCCTGCCTCTGAGACTTATTACCTCTGAGTTATCTTACTGCTAGGACAAGTCACTGCCCTTCCCTGGGCCTCAGTTTCCCCATGTGTAAAAAAGGGAGGGGGTTGTCTATAGATGGCTTCTAAGGTCCCTTCCAGTTCCAGAACTACAATTTTAATGGAATGTGACAAAATCAGGTAGTCAAATTGGTGTCCTCAGAGGAAATGATGGGGTGGAGTTAGTGATCCCATAGGATAGAATGGGGCCTCTGGAACTAAGAAATTAAAAGGTCAGGGTCTTAGCTGTGGATCCTGATGCAATATTAGGAGAATGACTAATCAACCCACACAAGTCTAAGCAAGTCCCCAAAATTACTGATGGTACTTACTAGAAAATGCAAATTTCCCTGGCATGTCCACGTGGCTACCCAAAATATCTTCCTTAACACATCCATGTGATCTAGAGGGACACAGAATAGCTGTCAGACCAATTCTCCCAGAAAATCTCCCAAAAGAATCTTCTCCTAACAACATCCCTTATGGTCCTTTCATACCCACACTCCCCAGACCTCTTCACCAAACATCCGGGGCAGGGATATTTCTGCTAAATGCTTGGTCAGAAACCTTCAGAAGGAAGCTCCTGACCCCAAATTGCCTTGTGTTAGAGGTGACCACAGCCCCACCTGAGGAGGATGAGGGTACTACTTGTCCTATAGAGGATCAATGTAGCATGGCGGGGCCTTAAATGTCACTTCCCTTTGTCAGATTCCAGGGATAATAAATTCATTGTCCAAGTGAGGGCTTTGAGGTAGCAGATGAGGAAAAAGAGAGTCAACTGGGGGAGAGTCAGAGGGAAGTGTCCTTAAATGGATATCTTTCATGTCAGTCAGTTAGCAAACATTTATTATGTATCTATTAGGTACCAGGAACTATACTAAGCACTGATGTGTGTATGTGTATACACACATATACGTCCTTTTTAATAATAACTTATAGGCTAATAGCTGATTGTGATTGGACAAAGGAGGCCTGACTATGTCACTAAAGATATTTCTGGGACTAAGAGAAAAGGTAACAAATAGAAGAAAACAAGAATTCAGGCTGCAGTGAAGGAAAATAAGGAAGAGTAAAGAGTGTAGCCCAGATGTTTTAGAAAATATTAGATATTAAGACAATTACTAATTGCTCACATTTATGAAGCAATATGTGATTTAGAAAGCACTTGCCTTACCACGACCTTGTCAATTATTGCAAGCATTACTATCTCCATTCTACAGAGGAGAAAAGGGAGCTCCAGGGGCCTAAGTGAAGCCCTCCATCGTTCACAGAGCTGGTAAGTATCAGGGATAGGATTCAAACCTAGGACTTTTCTTACTTCAAAGCCAATGTGCTTTCCATTACAATATGAAGCCTCACTTAGTTAGCTAAAGGAGTAAGAAAGTAAAATGGATGACTGAGAAAGTATAGACTTTTCAGGAAACCTAGGACCAAGTTACAATTAGAGCACGGGGAAGAGAGAAGAATCCTTGTATTCTTCTTGTGCTCCTTGTACTCTGTCCTGGACAGAGGGTCCAATAAGGAAATCAATAAGAACGGCACCCAAATCTGAATTCTGAAACTATTTATTCTAATGGGCCAATGATAAACTAATTTTCATTCAATTAGGACCATAGTTGGTTTCTTAATGCATTAAGTTTTTCTTGCACAATGTCTCAGTCTCATTTTCTCCTCACTACCTGTAGTAAAGTGGTTGACATTTCATTAAAACAACTAGCCTGAGAGAGCATTGCCATCATAAACTTAATTAATTATCAAGTTGGGACTCCATCATCAGCATTTACTTGTCAGAAATAGCTTTCACTCTTATATTATTTTCCACTGGTGTCACAATTATAGCTCCCAGCCTCTTGATACCTTTTTGCTTCAAGAACAAGTCAGAATTGGTGGACATTCCAACTTCATACCAGAAGCCTGAAAACTGAAGGGAATAGTTTATGCGGAAGAGGCCTACCTATTTCCCCCTGGAGAGTACATGAAGGACAACTCTGCAGTTCACAGGTATAGATCCAATGAGTCTTAATGGCATTTCTCATTGAGGCACGAATGACTATATGTATCATGACTATGTTCTAGATAAGCGACAGGAAGCCTCTTTCCAAACATGATGAGGAATATTGGGATCACTGGACACATTCCTTACAGAACAGTAATATTCCCTTATTTTTATAGAACACTTTTTATTCAGCCATTGCACAGTTGTTGAGGACAGTTTTTTCCAGCTTTTTGTCTATTATAAATAGTACCTTATACTCATTCTCATACATTTAGAGCTGAAAGGAGCCTCAAAAGTCATCTAGAACAACCCCTTCAATTTACATATGATGAAACTAAAGTTATTAAATAGTTTGGCTAAAATCACTCAGGTAGAAAGTTGAAGAGCTGGGACTTGAATCCTAATCTTCTGACTCCCAAACCAGTGTTCTCTTCCTTTGTACCCCAAAGCCTTCCCTTTAAGTCCATGAGGATAATATCTGCAAATTCCCACCAAGAATGTCCCCAAGTCTGAGTGGATGAGAGAGAAGACTGGCAAACCACAGCCTGAATGTCTTCTGGGAAAGTTAGACTTCCCCCAGGGACAAGTAGGTGGTGCAGCGGATAGAGTACCAAGCCCTGGAGTCAGGGGGACCCAAGTTCAAATCTGTCCTCAGACACTTGACTCTTACTAGGTATGTGTGACCTTGGGCAAGTCATTTAACCCTGATGTCCTCAAAAGAAAGAAAGAAAGTTAGAGTCTCCTAAATGTGGCTGCCCCAAGACAGAGAAGAACAATAACATCTAATAGACAGGCTCTAGAACCCTCATCCATTCCTCTTTCCATTTCACCACTAGAGCGTTTCAGTAGAAACTATTTTCTTTTTGTTTTCTTTGGGGGGGGCGGGGCCAGGCAATGGAGTTAAGTGACTTGCCCAGGGTCACACAACTAGTAAGTATCAATTGTCTGGTCTGAAATTGGATTTGAACTCAGGTCCTGCTGACTCCAGGGCCGTGCTCTATCCACTATGTCATCTAGCTGCCCCAGTAGAAACTATTTTCCTGAAGATTCTCTTTGGCCCAGGTATAAAATTTGTTCCCAGGTTGTAATTACCTTTGTCTTCCTCTACTTGAAGTGGTACCTGAGCAGGACAGGTCTCAAAAGCTACAAGGGCTCTGTCTGGAAGGGAAGGCTGGGATGGCCCAGAAAGTTCCCCACCACTGCTGAGTGGAGAAACTGCCCAGGCAGTGACTGCCCACCCTGGGCAACCCTTAACCAAGTCTCCCTCTGCCCCCATTGAGTTATAGCCTTGATATTCACCCCCAAACTGAGAAACAGATATTACCTTTCCTATGTCAAATAGCTCTTTAGAGATCTTTGCTTGTGCCTTTAACATAGCGAACATCCCCAGGAGAACACTTGGCAGCACAGTCTTCATTCTCTCTGCTGTCTGCCCTGAGCAGCCTCAGGAACCAGTGATAGCTGCAGGAAAGGAGAGTCACAGCCGCCTCACAGTACCTGGATCTATATTCTCCTGCATGCGATTGTTATGTAATAACTGCACGGAACTCATTGAGCAAATCTGGGCTGCAAGACAGAGATTACTGGATTTTCCTCAAAGGTGTAGCCAATCAGATATGAACCCACACCCACCAAAATGGGTGTTGGGGCTCTGGGCTGAAAAAAGTAATCTTGCCACGGGGAGAATCTCCTTTGCCCAGGAGTTATAACAGATAAGGAAGTGTGATGTCCTCAATCAATAAGCATTTATTAAGAGTCTACTATGTGCAGTTACTGTGATATGAGCTTACACTCTATTAGGGGAGACAACATATACGTAAATCAGCATGTACCAAGTGAATACAAAGTAAGGGGGGACGGGATGGTTTGTGAGAGATATAGTCCTAACTATGGGTTTCCTTTGCAGTGCTTTATCCCATGCTTTTGTACTAGCCAATAGGGGCAAAGTAAGAAGCAGAAGAGTGAAATGTTTGAAGTAAAAATCAAGCCTATATCATTCATTATCCTACTGTGCCTTTCTGATCACACTGTTTAAGACCGGAGATACTTTTCTACTATGGTTATAGCTTCAGGCACAGTCCTGGAAGTGGGATCATTTTATTACCTGTTCCCAAAGCTTTAATTGGAACATACAGGGCCCTCAGGGCAAGAGTCAGGGTATAGATCACTCATCCCTGTAAAATCCTTGAGACAAAGAACAGACGTTAATCAGTCCTTCTGTGTAACTAGGACTCCCAATAATGCCCAGGCTGATAGTAAAATGGTTTAGAATGCAAATGGATCTCTTTGCCTTCTGCATCCCTATAAAGCCTCAATCTCATCCATTCTCCCCACATTTCCTTTTCCCTTTCCTCAATTTCTATATCATCTCTTGCCCCCAGAAAAGCTACTTTTCTTTTATTCTGTAGTGAAAATTTATTTCTCCTTTAGTGGAGGTGGAGAAGGGAAGAAGAAAGGCAAATTCAAGTTATGAAGGTTACTACCTTTACATGGACACACATAATCCCTCTAAATATTGGAGTGGATCTGTGATCTCACCAATGTGGACACTCCGGCCAAAGCTAAAGGCTACCACCTGCCCAGGTCCCCTCACCCATGCAACTCTTGTCCAGGTCCTTTCATCGGTTCTCTCCAGAGGTCCACCCAAAGTGCCAGGGGTCTTCCTTCTATTCTCCTGAGAATATCAATGGAGCGTGCTGGCTTGTTTGTCTATCACTATCCTCTACCGTGACCACACAGAAAGGCTCAGTACCAGCAGCCTGGCCACACAATGATAAATTCTTTGGCCATAGCAGCCCCTTCCAAAAGTCAGAAGAAAAAGATACCTATGGAAGTGGAGGTGTGGAGGTTAGGGGTTGAGGAGGGGAAACCATAAGGAAATCCTCCAAAGTCATTTCCATACTCAAATGTATCTGTGATCTCACAGATTCAGGAGCTACTTCTACTGATACAGTTCACAGTCTCTACCTACCTACCCATGCCCCTCTCATCCTCTCAGAAGTTAACTATAGAATGCCCGCCAAACATGCTGGAGATCCTGTCTCACATTCCCCTAACATCTGGAAAGGTGCATCTGGCCATTCTTCTGTCATCCCTCTCTCTTGACACACAACCAACCTAGCTTCTCCTTCTATCATACAATTCCTCACTGAAATCGTTTACTTCTGATCTTTGGAGTGTGTCATAGCTGCAGCAGCCTGCTCATACTGCTATAGGCCCTATCCATTACCGTCTGGGCAATACTCACCTTTGGTTCTTCGGTGGCAGTGGAGTCCTAGATCTTGCTCTCTGGCCATGGCCACTCCTTCTAACAGTTGGAGGGGGAAGGTAGCAGAAGGGGATCCTTTCAAAGTCCTTTTCATCTTTCATTTTAATTAAGGGGAGAGGGGAGGTCATTACAGGGTAGGATTGAAGTAAAAGCAAACAAACCTCAGCGTACTCTGGGCAGGAAGGGGTGGGGTGGGGGCAGGGAGAGGTAGAGGAAAGCCTTCTGTCTGTAACACAGTTTGACAAGTCCCCCACATTGCCTTTCAGATGACTTCTGAGTCCTCCCTGTCTTTTTCCAGCACAATATACTTCTCAAAAGGAAAAATATAACCTTCAGTCGGTTAATCAAATAGGACACTTTAATGAAAAGTCACAAGAGATTGCCAAATCTAGCAGATATAGTTATGAACTACGCCATCTACCAAAACTAAGCCATTCCCATTGCCATCTTCTTCAACACAGAGCAGAAAAAAACAGCTATTTTTCAGTGAACAGGCCATATCAATTTTGGTCAAGTCCCTTTTTCCTATCAGTAAAAAAACATGTCCAAACTCAGAAAAGTTCTCTTCACACACACAGTTTCTACACGTGCATGCTCATACATGCACGTGCTCGCATGTGCGTGCGCACACACGCACACACACACACACACACACACACACAGAGTTGGGTAAACCATGGCTCCTATTTCCATGTATTTTGATCCATTTTTCTGGACTTTGGCCTCTTTTGCAGATTTAGGGACCACAAAAGAGATGATAAGACAGATGCGGGTCAAATCTCAGATTATTTATTTAGCAACAATGATCTCATACGAACAAGAGTAACAAATTAAGTTTTGTTCCTTAACAGGTTTCATGTGCCCCAGTGTGTCCAGCAAAGCATCGTGTTCACAGCAGGTACGTGGTCACTGATAGATGATCTCATTTTATTCCATCTGTTTCACTCTGTGAATCGTACTCCTACAAGCATTCAAATACCTCCCCTGTGTATTTTCAGGCCCCTGTATACATCCGACCCTAAAGTGTCTCCCTCTTAATGACTAAATAAGTCCAGATTCCTTCACCTAGCAGGTCATCTTCACCACTGTCATCATCATCAACAACATTTTCCATTAGTCTCCAACCCACCTTTCCAGCCTTTTCTCCCACTACTCCCTCTTATTCTATGTTGTAGCTTAACTAAACAACTCACAATTCTAAGAACTTGTCTCACTTTCCCCTAACTTCCATCCCTTTGCTGATATCCTGCTCTTGTAATGCCCTCCCCGCCATCACTACCCCCATCTCTATTGGTTTGAAGTTCTTTGCCTCCTTCAAGACTGAGCTTAGTCACGTCTTCCACAAAACCTCCCTGATCCACCACCACCACAAAAAAAATAATAAAAATAAAACCTGGGAATAACCTCTCCTCTAATCTCTACCATCACTTTGTGTTTTTTCTAGACACTCCCTGCATTCTCTAGTTTGGGTTATAGTTTTCCTCTACTAGACTGTATGATTCTTGAGGGCAAAGACTAAGGCTCATTTTTCTCTCCTATGACCTATTGCTTTAACACAATACAGGTGTTAAATTAATGTTTGTTAAATGTAAATTTATTCAGTGTTCTCTAGACTAGACTTTGGACCCTGGAAGGGAGCCACTCCCATAACTAGTCTTGAAGAGTCAAATTCCATCCTGACCTCCATACCCCCGAGTTTCCATTGGCAAAAATTATTTTTGGCTCAGTCACAGTGACTTTCCAAATCTATTGCACATTAGCTCCCTTCACATATACTATAGTCCAACCAAACCTGCCTTACCATTCCTCATATATACTACTGTATCTCCTATCTTTGTGCCTTTTCATAGTCTATCCCTCCAGGCCTAGGGTATACTCATTTTTCACTTTTGCCCCTCAGGAGTCCTCCTTTCCTTCAAAACTTAGCTCAAGCACCCCCTTCTACATGAAACCTTTCCTGATGTCCTCAGCTACTAGTACCTTGTAGAAAATTATCTTGAATCTATTTTGTATATGATTAAATATGTATATGTGGTCTCCCCCAAATAGATTGTAAGTTCCTCAAGGACAGGAACTGTTCTACTTGTCTTCGAATCCCTAAAACCGAGCATTGTGCCTGGCACACAGTAGGCACTCAATAAATGCTTGCTGATTGATTGATTAATATTGATGAAAATACATTGAGATGAAAATTCTATATCTCTTTTACACAAATTATTGTTTAGTCATAGTTATCCTAATCTGAATTTGTGTAATGGGCTTTTTTTGAGCTCATAGTTTGTGAAGGGAATGAAGAAGGAAGGTAAAGGGAGGCCTTAATGTACTGTCTCAGATTTTGCCCTCACCCAAACCAGGAGTACAGACCTCAGTTTCTCAGGCCAGAGAGAAATCTTTACCCCAGAGATAGGACTTGCTGTGTAGGCAGAAGCATATCTGGCTTATAAAGCAGTGTGATATCAGGGACATCTTAAGGTCTTTTTTGTCCCAAATGTCTTCCACCTGGCTCTGCTATGCATGGTATCTCCTTCTTCACTTTTTCTCTGAAACTCACACTTTCCAGTCACGAATGTATTAGTAAACAGAGCTGAGAGAATTGTCTCCTTAAGGCCCCTGTTTAATCCATGTATGTTAATAGCAAGTAGCCTTTTCGTGTAAAACTACCAGGCCCTATTAGTTCGTTAGATTACTTGGCACTCAGCCTGGGGCCCTGTGGAGATATGATAGAATTTGGGGGAAGCTCCACTAGTAGGGAACATAGCCGAGAAAATGCCTGGGTGGTAGGGAGTGAGGCTACTTAGGGAGGAGAGGCCTAGAGGAACTGAAAATCCTCAGAGGATACTTAATTTAGGAAGAATGCCTAAAAGTGAAGAACGAAAGGGCAGACTGAAGCCCCCACAGACTGATTTTGCCTAATTCATAATTTTGCTCAAGACCAGGAATGTCAAGAAGTAGATAGCCCCAGCTCCCTGCCCGGGTGTTTCTCCTATTTCTCTCCACCGTGGGTGGTCCAGCCCAGCACCAAAGGATGGTATCTCTCTATGCTAGGGCAAGAGGAAAGATTCCTGGTATGTGGGGGCCATTCTCTTAGGACACAAAGGTCAGAGAAGCCTGTCCAACAGAACCTTGAGGCAAGAACGCAGACACACTCCCACTCAGGGCTGATTACATTAGGATTATGGTCCAGGCTTCAGCACAATGAGATCTTTGTGGGTTGGAAAAGATGCACAGCAAAGGCAGTCTGTGCTCTCTCTCTACTTCATTGAACTCCAGAGTCATTTAAAATTTATGAACCTCAAGGGGCAGCTAGGTGGCGCAGTGGATAGAGCACCAGCCCTGAAGTCAGGAGGACCTGAGTTCAAATCCGGCCTCAGACCAAACACTTGACATTTACTAGCTGTGTGACCTTGGGCAAGTCACTTAACCCCAATTGCCTAAAAGCCAAAAAAAATAAAATAAATAAAATTTATGAACCTCAAAGATATGAGGTTTATGGTGTTCAACATACCCGGAGTTAACAGACCAGAGACACTCAGGGTAGGAGGCTGGGGCACCGCTGTGTAGAGAAGTGTGACAAAACTGTCACCGCCAGATCTGCAATCCAAACCGTGCTGATCCAGCTTCTGACCCAGAGACCAAAGGGGCTCTGAAAGCCCAACCAGCCTCAGGCCTGGAATTTAGCCTGCTGCCCACTTTCAGTTTCTACTAACTCCTTAACAGATATTTCCAGGCTGCTAGCAAATGACATTTAAGATGCAAAGGCTCTGGGATTTAGACTGGACCCTCCATTTCTGCCAACCCTTCTGGACTCCTAAGAAATACCTGCCTCCTCCCCCCAACAATCAGTCACACAGTTTCCAGGGCTTTGTTGCCTGGGTTCTAGTCTGTATGAGGAAAGAGCGAAGAGTGATAGAGAGGCTTGACGAAAAGAGTCAGACAAACTGTCTCTGTCAGCAGCATTCTCTCTCTCTCTCTCTCTCTCTCTCTCTCTCTCTCTCTCTCTCTCTCTCTCTCTCTCCCTCTTTCTCTCTCTCTCTCACTCCCCCTTCTCCCTCTAGCTCTCCCTCCTCCTCCTCCCTCCCTTTTTCTCTCTCCCTTCTTTCCTCTCTCCTCCTCCCCCCTCTCACTACCCTCCCCTCAACGTACATGCCACCCAAACAGGCCATTTTGTAGTGGTGATAGAGGGTTATCATTGGACTACTTTAATGTAAAGGCCCCCATATTTTACTGTGCCCCTAGAAGATATACTCAGCGCTGGGAGAAGAAGAGTAGCATGAGTGGGCGGTGCCAAACAATGTGCCAGAGCTCCCCTGTGTACCCACAGAAGTTACTTCCCCACAAACGCTTGATTCTGGAAGACTCCACCTCTTTGAGCTAATCTTTCTGTCTAGTAATAAGATATACCCTGACTTTGGGGTTCCTCTTTGTGCTGTCCCTGTCATTTTTTTCTTATTCTATAAGGTAAAGCGATTCAGCTTGTTCTCTATTATTCCACAGGCTGAGACATGACCAGCGGGTAGAAGTCACAGAAAGGCAGATTTGGGCCCAATATAAGGAAGATGTCATATAGTATATAGTGAACAGAAGGTTGGCCTCAGCACCAAGAAGACCTGGGTTCAAGCCTCACCTCTAGTACGCACTGGTTATGTGACCCTAGGCAATCACTCAACCCCTCAGTTTCCTAGAAAAGTCTCTAAGAGTACATATTGCAATCTATTGTTATAAATTTGTAAATGCTACATGGTACAAATTGCAGAGCGAGTGTTGATCTGCACGGGTAGAAGAAGATTCCATATGAGGAGTTTTCTGAAACACATCTGGCCCAAGCTGAACAGGAACTTCCTAATAGAGCTGTCCAGAAATAAAATGGACTAGGCATTCTTGAGGTATGAGGCCACCATCATTGGAAGTATCTAAGCAGAGTCTGGCTGCATTAACCATTTATCGGAGACATAAAGAGGAGTCTCGCTAGGGTAGAAAGTTGAACTGGATCTAAGATCTCTAAGATCTTCTCCAGCTTGGTCATTCTATGTTTCCAAAGGTCAAAAATTTTAATTTCTCTTTAATATTCTCTGGGGCCCTACACACAGTGAACTTGATAAAGACATCTCCAAGGATCTGTGTGGAGCCTAGTGGGAAATCATAGAGAGTCTATTTATTTAATACAGAAGAGGAAATTCCAGGAAAAATCCCAAAGCAGGGTTATAGAGGAAGAATGCAAAGGACTCCCCTGATGGGGTCTCCAAGAAGTGCTCAAAGATCTGTGACTTCCTTACTGATCACAACTTCTCTGTTCATGACTGAAGAAGTCTTCTCTAGGCTTTTCCCTGTGGAATAGAAAGGTTGAAGGGCATTATGGTATATATAGAGCTACCTCTCTCCCATTCCATTCACTCTTTAGGCCCTCCCTCTGTTTTTCACGTCCCTGGCCCAATCGAAAAGAGTATAGGAGAGAGTGCATGCTCATGTGCCATATTTGGGTTGCTAGAATTCTATTATTCATCCAAAGCTTCTGAAAAACTAAGATTTATTCAGTGTTTACTAAGCCTGATTCCTGCTAGAAATTAGGGCACAAATGCAGAAATGCAAATATTGACCTAGAACTTTAAGGGAAAGCAAGAAATTCTTGCTTAAGCAGAGAAAAACAGCTGGGAATAGACTGTTGAGCAGAAATATGGATATTAATTTTCTCCATGTTACTCCTCTTGCTAAGACCAAAGTCCAGGCACTTATAGCTGTGTGACCCTGGGCAAGTCACTTAACCCCAATTGCCTAACAAAAAAAAAAAAAAGAAGAATACTGAGTGGTTAACTTAGGGCAAGAAGCAACTTGCCCAGGGTCACTCCTTCACATTTTGTTAACAGAAACAAAACCAAAAAATTCCTTATTAGAAACAACCTTTCTCTATGGCTCCCCTAGATTAAAGGAAGGAGAAGGGAACTATTCAGAATTAAAGGTGGTATAAAATCACAAGACTGTTATTATTCAGTCATGTCTGACTCTTCATGACCCTATTTGGAGTTTCCTCGGCAAAGATACTTGAGTGGTTTGACATTATCTTCTCCAGCTCATTTTACAGATGAGGAAACTGAGTTAAACCAGTGACTTGCCCAGGGTCACACAGCTAGTAAATGTCTGAGGCCAGATTTGAACCTACGTAGATGAGCTTTCCTAACTCTAGGCTCAGCACTCTATCTACTGTACCACCTAGCTGCCCTCAAAAACACAAGATATCAATAGAAGAAGAAGAAGAAGAAGAAGAAGAAGAAGAAGAAGAAGAAGAAGAAGAAGAAGAAGAAGAGAAGAAGAAGAAGAAGAAGAGAAGGAGGAGGAGGAGAAGAGGAGGAGGAGGAGGAGGAGGAGGAGGAGGAGGAGGAGGAGGAGGAGGAGGAGGAGGAGGAGGAGGAGAAACTACCTTTCTCTGTCTCAAAGGAAATATTTTTCAAAGAGGAATTACTTTGTCATTTGCATGCCAAGGCATGTCAAACTAAGTCTGGCAGTGTTGGTGACTATAGAACTGTCAGGTAAGGTCAGTCGGGATTCCCAACAGCGATGCTGGATTGTTTGAGATCCCTGTGTAATTGATTCTCCAGGATTTAAAATATGAAGTTGAGACTCTGTTCCAAAACCAGGGCAAACTCACCTCAATGTTTTCCTGGGAACAAGCATCTGTAGAAATAAAAGCAAATACATAAGAGTTAATAAGATAGACTTGGGAACCAATCTCCAAGCTAAGAGTTTGTTCATTGGCCACACACTCTATTCCCACTGCTCTAAGACTAGGCTGTGACAAAATAAGGCACTTCTTGGAATGCACCACAAAGTAGGTAAAACCTCCCAGGCATCTCCAGACCAAGCTTTCTCTGGATCTGTCCCGGTGAATGGTATAAGAAAGAGTTTGTCTAGAGATGTTCTCCAAGCCAGCACTAGCTTGCCTAGTTTTCTCAAGTCAATGGCTGCTCCCCAGAGGAAGTGGGACCAGTGTCAGCACTGAGAATTTATGCCGCTAGGTTAAACTTCCAAGGGATGGGGGAAAGAGACATGGTACCATAAGGTACCATAATGGGAAAGGGCATGTAATGTTAAAGCTGTCTGTGGCAATACTGCTACACTCTCCAAAATAAACAACCTTTTTGTCTTCAAACAGAGCCAACAGCCGCCTGCCTGGGTCATTCAAAAATGACCCATAGCAGGTCTTAATAAATAGTTGTTAGCTCATTGATTGTTTGATAAAACAAGGATGAATTCCTGGCTCTGGGAGGCAGAAGATAGAAGATAGAATGCTGGACCCAGAGAAGGAGCTCTGAACCTTTTTTGTGTCTTGGACCCCTTTGACAATCTGATGAAGCCTATGTACCCCTTCTCTGTTTTTAAATGTATAAAACAGAGTACAGAGGATTACGAAGAAAACATATCATATTGAAATATAGTTACCAAAATAAGTTTAAATAAGTTTACAGATGCTCACTTGACCCTGAGTCAGAAAGACCTGGGTTCAAATGTTACCCCCTGACAATAGCTGTGTGACCATGGACAAATCATTTAACTTGCCTGAGCCTCAGCTTCCTAACCTGAAGTGGGGTAGATAGCAATGTATGTAAAGTGTTTCACGAACTTGAAAGTGCCATGTAAATGTCAGTGATTGTTATTACAAGAAGAATTATCCAACAGTGCAATCTGTTTGCCTGGCAAGGTAGTGGGCTGTCTCTGGAGATGTACAAGCAGAGTCTAAATACTCACCTCCCAGGGACATCATAGAGGTGATTTCTGCAGCAGAAATTCTAAGGCCAGAGTAGATAACCTCTGAGGTCCTTTCTAATACAAATTCTATGGTTCTAAAGGGAAGAATTGTCTCAGGCCAGGGCTCTGCACAAAATAACCTCAACGAGCATATCTCTTAAGTGGCAGTTCTCAAAGCATGGTGCACAGATTTGAGACCCTTTCAACAAGTCTCTGAGACCCTTCATGTGTGTGCAGGGTCAAAACTATTTTCTTAATAATACTGAAACATCAATTGCCTATTAAAATACTTCTCCTTTTCCAACTATCTGTCTATATGAGGCCAGGTTTTCTTTAGAGACTTAAAACAACATAATGGAACAGAGTGAATACAGAAGCAGATACAAGACTCCAGCTGCCTTTTATTAAGCCAGCCATTAGAGATATTTGCAAAAATATATTTTAAAAATACATCCCTTCTCACTAATTTTTTTTTGTTTTGGAAAATATAGTTAGTTTCCATAAAATAGGTTATTTATGTTAACATAATGGATTTATTATTGCTTTAAATAAATTCACAAATATTTTTAAATTTTATCTATTTAATTTCTTACATAGTAAATATCAATAGATATAACTCAGATAAATTAAAACTCTTTGGGGTCCTCAATAATTTTTACCATTGCAAATGAGTTCTAAGACCAAAAAGTTTCAGAACCACTGCTCTAAAGAAAGCTATGGAACCTCAGTGAGGCAGCTTGGAAAATCTCTTTATTCTGTGCTCCCTTGCTGAGCTGCACCTAGTGTAGTGATACTGTCTACATTACCTTAGTTGTTTCACTGAGTAAGAGCCTACCCCATCCCCAACATATGCATGTGCCATGGGATGGGCGAGCTTCTTTATCAGCTTCAAGGAAGGAAATGGTGATGGAAACACCTTCCAAAGCTACCTGACTTGGAGAGCAAGGACATCATGTCATCCTCAAGTCCCACAATAGGATAGAAATCCTGGAATGCTCTTAGAGCCTTGGCACTCACATCTGGGGTCCGACCTATGGGCAGAGAAAAGATGAATATAAAAGGATTAGAGAATCATAGATTTAGAGTTAGAAGGACTTATGAAGACTTCTAACCCAATGCTCTCATTTTACAGATGAGAAACTGAGGCCCAGAGAAATCAATTGACTTGCCCAAGATCACACAGACAGTAAGTTGCAGAGCTAGGATTTGAACAAGAGTCCTTTGACTCCAAATCCAGTACTCTTTTCTCTATAACACACAAAGGGACCTGGGTTACCAGAGTGGGAAAAAGGGGACTGGAAGATAAAGTTTCCTGATAGACATTGAATCCAGGACTTTGAAAGTCCAAGCAAGGATTCCTTCAGAACTTTCAGTGGTGAGTCTCCTTCCCCCTCCTTCCAAGTTGAGATCAGACTCCTGGAAGCCCCCAACCTCAACTAAATGCTTTCAGTGCCTTTCCAGGCTGGGGAAGGACAATCACGGAAGATTCTCCCAGGGAATAGCCCCTACCCCATTTCTCTTGAAGGAGTACAGCTTCCCTGTCCCCTCTCCCCCCCCCAACACACCCACCCCAAGACTTGATGCTCACATACTGAATAGCTGCACCATGGTGCTGAGTACCCCATCCAGTTCTTTGTAGATGTACAGGACACAATAGGACGTGTAATCAGTCTCAGCCACACGCACATCCAGGTAGCCATTATCTAGAAAGGAAGATCTGGTGAGATGTGGGACCAATCTAGAAATCTAAAAACAAGGCCCAGCTTGCCTATGTCCAGGACAATCAGAAATGCCTTTATAATGACAGTAAGTAGCAAAGAACTAGAAACAAACTAGGTGCCCCCCAATTAGAGAATGTCTAAACAAGTTATGGCCCACAAATGTAATGGAATATTACCATACTTTAAGAAACAATAACTCATGAACACAGAGAAGCATAGGAAGACTTACATGAACTGATGCAAATTCAGTAAGCAAGGAGGGCCAAGAAAACAACGCGTGTGTGTGTGTGTGTGTGTGTGTCTGTGTCTGTGTCTGTGTCTCTGTGTCTCTGTGTCTATGTGTCTGTGTGTCTGTGTCTGTGTAAAATGAAAACAATGTAAATGGGAAGAACAACTGCACAACTGAATGCTGAAGAATTGTAATGACCAAATTTGGGCCCAAAAAAGAAATATGAGAAAGTAACTTCCCTTGATTCTTTGCAGCAATGTGGAAACATAATAGCTAATAATAATAATAATAATAATTGTTCACATTTATATTGTACTGACTCTGTGCCTAGCACTGTGCTAAGTACTTTACAATTATTATTTCATTTGATCTTCATGACAGCCCTGCGAGGTAGGTGTTATTATTATCCCCACTTTGCAGATGGGGCAACTGAAACCAGCCAAAATTAAATAACTTGCACAAAGCTAGCTTGTGAGGCCAGATATGAACTCAGGTCTTCCTGACTCCAAGTCCTCTTGGATCGCCCACAAATCCACTCTTGCTCTCAAGGATCATAAAGTTGGAGGAGACCTGAGAGATCATCTAATTCAACCCCTCTCATTTTTCAGATGAAGAAACTGAGGGCCGGGGAGGTTTGAGTACTTGCCCAAAATCAAATAGGTCACGTGTCAGAGTCAGGATTTGAATCCAAGCTTCTAACTTTAGTGTTCTCTTTGGTTCTTCCCTCTTCCTTTCTGCCTCCTCGATAGCCAATTAGTTGCCAAGTCCTGTGAACCCTACTTCCACTATATCCCTCACATCCATTTCCTCCAATTATCTGATTATTAGTTCAGACTTTTATCTCTCTTTGCCTAGACAACTATTACAGCCTCCTAAAGGGTCTTCCTGCTTCCATGCTTCTATTCTTCCATTTTTTGTAGCCTCTCTCTAATTTATCCTTCACACTACTACCCATACAATCTCCTTAATGAAACACCCTAATCCTGTTAGTTCTCTGCTCAAAAAACTTTAGTGGGTCCCCATTGCCTTTCAAATAAAGCATAAATTCCTAATCCTGGTATTCAGTCCTCCCCACCCCCCAGACTCTAACTCAGCTTTCCAGGCTTATCTCACACTACCCCTCCTTCATTGTATCCTATACCCTAGCCAAAGGAGAATATTCTCCATCCCCTTTTTTTACCCTGGCCTTCTCCCATCTCCACGCTTTTTTCACTCTCTACTCCATCTCTCTACCACCTATGTGACTTTGGACTAATTACTTAACCTTTGGGGAGCCTCAGTTTCTTCATATGTAAAATGAGGTAGGTTATACTAGATAACCTTTGGGGTCCCCTCAACTCTAAATCTATGAACTATGTATGAACTATGCCTCAAATAGACTCCCTTTCTCCCCCTTCCTAGCCTGTTGAAATCCCTCCTTTCTTTCAAGGCCTAACTCACGTGCTTGGTACTCCATGAAGTCTTCTCTAACCCCACTACTCACCAGGCCAAAGTGATCTCTACCCTCCTCAAATTTCTTCTTAGCACATTAGCAGGAAAGACCTCTTCCCTACCCTTGTCACAGTCTCCTTTGTAGCATAACTATTCATATACAAACCTTTTGCTCTCATCTCCCACCCTCCAGCCCAGGTAGTTTGTAATGTACTAGAAGGCAAGGACTGAGTCATATCTGTCTTTGTAACCTAAGTGCAGTGCCTTGTATATAGTAAGTGCTTAATAAAATGTTTGTTGAATTTATTTAAAAGCTAGGCTAGAACCAGATCGCAGAGGGTCTGGAACGTCAGGCTAAGGAGTTCAAATTTTACTCAGTAGAAATTAGGACTCACTAAAAGTTTGGGGTTTTTCTTTGGAGGGGGTGATACAATTGGAGTTAAGTGACTTGCCCATAGTCACACAGCTAGTGAGTGCTATGTGTCTGAGGCCAAATTGGAACTCTGGTCCTCCTGACTACAGGGCCAGTGCTCTAACCACTGCGTCACCTAGATGCCCCTCACTAAAAGTTTTTGAGCAGCCAAATAATGTCACAAAAATATTCTGTTTAAACTCTGTCACTGCCACTTGCTGCCCTGTATGACCTTTGGCAAGTAACAAATTTTTTTCAATCCTCAGTTTCTTTGTATGAAAAATAAGGAAGTTGGACTAGATTACTTGTCAGGCCCTTCCAACTCTGTATCTATAATCCTATGGATTAGGAAGATTAAATAAGCATGGAAGTGAAGTGTAGGTTGCAATCCTGAAAGACTAGAAATGCGAATGCAAGTTAGGAAATTACTGCAGAAATCCAAACAAGAGTCAATGAGAACTGGGGAAAGGGCATTGACAGTGGGAATGGAAAAGAAAGGATGGAGGATGAAATATTGCAGAGATATAATTTACAGTACTTGGCAAATCACTGAATGTGGAAAAGGCCAAGGAAAGGATGACTGGAAAATGGTGGCAAGTTAGTCAGTTCTGGGGAGGTTTCCCTTTTGGACCTTCTGTTTCTCTGGTCTTCCCTACAGGACCTTCTATGAAACCGAATAAAGGAAAAACATCTGGATGGTAAAGGAAGGAGGGGATTGGGGTCCAGGCTAGAGATAAGGTGCAGGTAGCCATTGGCATTTGCCTGTTTTGCTGCAATGAAAAAAACAAGGACATCCATCTCTTGATCACATGGAGGAAGTGGAGAGGGAAGCAGCTGGTACCCTTCAGACCCAATCCAACCTACCAGGTACTTTGTAGTGACCTTCTGACCCTATCTTCATATACTCTGCATCCATTGTCTTACAACCATCAGCCCTAGGAGATCAACAGGGATAGAAATCACATAGTTTAAAAATCCTTAGTTGTCCTCAGAAGGGGAATTTTCCTCAGAGCTGACCGAATCCCCCGAAGACAGGTGATCCACCAACCAGGGCAACAGTGTACATCTTTCCCATCATCTTATCACTGTTGTACCTAGTACTCTGTCTCTGTGGTAGACCCAGTTAACCAAGCCACAAAAGGAGCTCCCTGTCCAAATCACCCCCTTCGTCTCTGCAGGGTGTTACAGTGTGCCCTATGGAAAAAAAAAGTAAGGAAATCCTGCCTGTCACCACCCACCTCTTATTTTCTACTACGCTGAAGTCTAAAGCTAATTTCATCAGGAAAAAAAAATCACTTAGTTGCAATAGTCACATTCTACATACCTCTTTAAGATTTTTCTTCCCCACTCTTCAGGTACAACCTTTGCATTGACCCCTGCCAGCTCTGACCTCCTAGACTTGTGTTCCATCTCCCTGCAGACCAGACTCCTCTGTCTTCTAAGTAGGTCATGCCCAGCTCCACTGATTCCCCAACCCCTTCCTGTACCTCTCTGAGCCCAGTTCCAGGACTCTTGCTAAACCACTTCCTCTGCTTCCCCACTGGGAAATTAGTTTCATTCCTGGAACCACTCTGGGCTTTGATAGAATAGCCGGCTTTGGCCTTATCTTGCTCAATTCTAAGTCTCCACAGCACTTTCTAGACATTTCCAGTCATGCTCCCAAGGCTAAACACCCTACCTCCTTTCTTCTTCCTCCATCCTTTCTTTTCCTTTTCTATTGTCAATGCCCCTCTCTGGCTCCCACTGACTCTAGTTTGAATTTTTGCAGTAATTTCCTAATTTGTATTCTCACCTCTAGTCTTTCCTGACTCCAATCTGTACTTCACTTGCTTGCTTATTTAATTACTTATTTAAATTACTATGTGTTGTCTTCTCCAATAAAAACAAAGCAGAATCAGTGACTGACAGAAACGAAGTCAGAGACTGTCTCGCTTACTTTTATTTGTATTTCCAGCATTTAGCACAGCGCCTGGCACATAGTAAATGCTTGATATGTGCTTTATCTTTCCATCCATTCATCTATTAGCCCAGGGCAAAGGAAAGAGTGAAGGGAGAAGGTTAAGGAAATAAATCATGCTCACCAAGGTAAGGCCATGTGGACATTAAGGTTACCATCCTCTGTGGCATTTATTAATCTTGTTGACATCAATATATTTTCCTTCTTGCCAAGGAAGACCTTGCAATCTGACACCATGGAAACGACATACCACAAGCCTGAAAACTGGGGAGAACAGTTCATAGGCAAGACATTCTGCTTGTCCTTCCTTCTGTCCTCTATGTATTCAGGGTATCCAGGTGGATAAAGAGATCAGTGAAATGGAATGACTTGTATGGATGTCACACAGCTAGTTACAACTCTGGTGTATCTCTCTCCTGTGTTTGAGTTGATGATGGACCAGAAAGAAAGAAGAGATTGAATAGTAGCTTCCAAAAATGGCCTTGGGCCCCCTTGCTTCCTGTATAAGCCTAGTTTGGGCATCCCAGCCCCAGTAATGATTGAAAGCACAAGGGGAAAAGGAAAGAATGCTGATGGAGTATGTGGTAATGGCCCACAGGTACAGTGTAACCAGGACAGAAGCAGTCTGAGTCCCACTCTTGCAAAGGTTGATTGTAAAAATGGACTCTGACAGAGAGGTACTACAATGATAGGAACCTATGAGGGAGCTGACCCAAGGGTGTTTGTGACTGTAAGGTGAGACTTTGGGACGACGGCTACCACAGGGAGGAAGTGCCCTCCATGTCAGTACCTTGGCACAAAGTCCTATTCACCCTACTCTAGTTACAGCTTTACTTACAGGAGAGATTTTTTTAGTTACTAAGCATAACTGAGACCTGCCTAGAAAGCAGTTGTTAGACTCCTAACGACCCTCAGCATCACCTGCCAAGAAGGACTTTACAAGTTCGGTCTCATAGTTAAGAGTAGGTGAAGAGGATATAAGACTACCAGGGGACAGTCTATTGGAAACACTAAATGGACAGGCAAAGAGATGGATCATAAAAATTCAACCTGGGCCTCTAGGGAGCTACTCATTGAATACATTTGAATAAACGATAGGTCACATATCCGGCTCTATCACCACCAAGGTGAGGGAACCAACACTCTCAGGTTCAAAAACTACTAGTAACACCTCACGGCAACATCTCTGATATGATGACCAAAGTGGCTACTTGAATTTGAACCCTGAACCAGGCTTTTGCTGGAACTAAAAATAATAAATCATTGGGAGTTTCAGTAGGTCATTTGTAGGGAGGTGATCAGGAAAATGTCTGAGCTTAGGGAAAACTATAAATAGAAAGTGTTTCACCGGGCATTTGGTCCTCTGAAAGTATTGGACTCTCCATGGGTATTGAATACCCCTCCTACACCACCATCCCCAGCAAAAGAAACAAAGAAGCATGACCATTACCTGTTTGGCATCAAAGTCTGGCTGCACCAGGACATCTGCCTGTAGCAGGGACATACAGATCAACCCCAGGAGGGAACTCAGCAGGATGGCCTTCATTTTCCTTGATTTCTGCTCTGTCCACTTCAGAAACCAATAATGTCTCAAAGGGGTGGATGGTCCCAGAACTTATACCCCAGGAGTGACCGCCACATATCCAGTTAGTGGAACTGATTGTGTAAGATCTGAGCTAATAACATCCTGCCTACCTAGGGCATTAATTTCCTGAGCTTGATAGGCCTGACTCTGTCCATTGTACCATACAATTGAACAAGTGTTTCCTAATCTTGCTTTTCATCATTTTTTTTTACCAGTTTTTGATCAGGGCTTTATACCTAGCACACACTTGCCCTTTCATTAATATGGAGAAGCATGGCCAAGGCCTGTCCTGGAAATCAGTGGCTGGGGTCCCTTGAGCCTCACTCTTGAGAAGCCTAATCAAGCATTTTCATTTGCCCTTTGAAACTTGTTGGGGGCCAAAGTTCTAAAACTCCTTTTGGTTTTCTTTTGGAAGTTGTCGGTAATTCAGTCGGCTTTGGGATCCCAGCGTATCTTCCAGATGTTTGGGATTGGTTAGCGTGCCTTGTGTTCTCTTTTCCCCTGGATGTGGTGGTTCCAGTGTCTGATTCCATTGCAACTTTGTGAATTGTGTTGGACAGCTCCAAAGATAGTGTTTCCTAAATTCAGGGAGACGTTTGCAGGCGATACCACCAAAGATGTATCCTAAAGCGTTGCTGACCTTCAGAGGCAGATGTTGGTTTTAGAGGAGTAAAATCATCTTTTTTTATGATCCTCCTCTAACCTAGAGCTGTTATCCAGGTGGCTATTATCTGTTTCTGTCTTTCATACATGCCTCACTCTATTATCCATACGCAATCCCACAGAGCTTTCCATGCACTTTTCAATCCTGCCCTTCAAACATTGTCCATCTAGGCTTTGATCAGTATAGGGAACTGTCTGAGCAGTAAATTCCTCTATCAGTGCAGATCAGCATCTTTTTCCTGCAATTTATAGTCCTAGAGAATTACCTAGGACACTGAGAAGTTAAGTGACTTGGCCAGATTCACACACCCAGAATGTATCAGAGACAAAATATAAACCCAAGTTTTCCTGGCTTCAAAACCAGCTTTCTACCCACTCTTCCACCCTGCATCTTCCTGTCTAACTCTGTCCTTCCAACAGTATCCATACTTGCCCTTTATCTAGGCACCAGAAGAGTCATCAGTGCATAGACGTGACTCCCGTCTAAGTTAACCGACCTCTCAGCAAAGGTGCCAAGGGGGAAAGAGAAGGTAATTCATTCTCCTGCCTTAAAAGTAGTTCATTTCCTGAGCTGATGCATGGGATTACACAACTCACTTATCACTGTTTACATAATTCAGTAGACTCCGGGAAAGTATACAGTTGAACAGTCGTGATAAGCACCAAGCATATGTCCAGAAAAGCAGGTGGGAAAAGGCTCCAGAACAGCCAGAAACTGAACGTTGAAGCAAAGAAGCCTAGGGATGCCACCTGCCCCTAGTGAAATCATGTCAAAAAAAAAAAAAGCTCCTGAGCAAGGTTGAGTGCTGTGTGCAAAACTCTGAGTTTAGGAGATAATCTATTTGGCTCCTCAGACTCCAGAGAAAAGGTTTCTGCAGCCTACAATCCAGCCATTGTAATATCTGGAGTTCCTGCCCCCGACCAGCTATTTTCAACCTTAAAGTACTTGAAAAGAAAAAGTATGATTTAAAAGGATAGCCAAAAGTACCATCACAGGGCGCTGGACTTGGAGGAGTCAGGAAGATCTGAGTTCAAATCCTACCTTCGACACTTACTAGCTGTGTGACCCTGAGTAAGTCACCTAACCTCTTTGTGCCTCAGTTTCTTCACCGGTAAAATGAAGGTGGACAGCTAGTTGGCACATTGGACAGAGTGCTTGGCCTGGATCAGGAAGATTCATCTTCCTGAGTTCAAATCTAGCCTTAGATATTTACTAGCAGTTTGGCCCTGGGCAAGCCACTTAACCCTGTTTGCTTCACTTTTGTCATCTATAAAATGAGTTGGAGAAGCAAATGGCAACCCACTCCAGTAGCTTTGCCAAAAAAATGCTCAATGGGGTCACGAAGAACCAGACACAACTGAAACAACTGAAAAACAACCCCAAAAATGAGGGTATTGTACTCAATGGCCTCTAGCGTCTTTTCCAGCTCTAAATTTATGATCCTATGATCCCAGGATATTGCATTTCCACTAATGGATTCCTTAAGAGAGCATCATATCCTCTCTATGAGAAATTTAATACAAGAAATAAAAAGGAGCAGCATCCCAGGAAAGATCTGTCACCAAGACTGCACTAGAAACATTTCCCTCCACCTGCCCCAGGAGCAGGCAAGCTCAGAAGTGAAACAATACAAGGCCACAAGGTGGCAGCACTAACACCGACCAAGCTTGGAATCTGTGACAGTGTACTTGGTGCTTCCAAACCAAGTGAACTCTTGAAGTAGAGTTTTTCCCCTCTGTCTCTGCTGGGCTCCCAAGCTTGTAATGCAAAAACCTGAGATTTCTCTGGGTTTCCAACGCTTGTTTGGAAATTGCTTGAGGCACTAAATGAAGGGGTTGGGTGAGATGACTTTTTACATCCCCCCAAGTTCTCAATCTGTGATACTCTGATTCCAGACTATCTGTCTACTTCATGGCATGTCTGGGATTGAAAGGATTCTCTTCCCCTCTGTAGACTGAGCGGAGGTGGTAGAAAACATGGAAAAGGGAGACCAGAGTAAGACATTTTGTTCAGTCATTTCTGACCCCATTTGGGATTTTTTTGGCAAAGATGCTAGAGTGATTTGTCATTTCCTTATCCAGCTCATTTTAACAGATGAGGAAACTGAGGCAAACAGGGTTAAGTGACTTAGCCAGGGTCACACAGCTAGTACACGTCTGAGGCCAGATTTGAAGTTAGGAAGATGAGTCTTCCTGCTTCCATGCCCAGCACTCATGCCACTGCACCACCTAGCTGGCCCAGAGTAAGACACATCCTCCTCTACAGAGAAAAGAGGATGGATTAGAACGTTTCTGAGATCCCTTCCAGCTCCAGAATCTAGAATCCTATGATCATATTAGAGAAGGATCCAAGATCCAGAAGGGGACAGAAAAGAACCAGAAAAGGCGGGAGGAGAGCAGCAAATGCCCACATGCAGAAAGTCTCTGTTTGCAGAGACTATCCCATCAATACTTCTATTTCTCTAGCCCCTTGACTTAAGTTTGTCACCACTTTGCAAATTCTAAGCAATAAGGGGGTGGATGTGATGACTGACCAAGAAAACAGGGATGGGAGCAACTCTTCCATTGGCTGTGCCATCACTTCTCCAGCTTCCAAATGGGCAAAAGGATGAAAGGAGATGGGGACCCAATATTAAACTGGGCATTTAATCAGAAAGTGAGGTACCCAACTCTAAATGGATGCTTAAGGTAGTTGGTAGCCTGAGGGGAAAGAACAGGGAGTTGTGACTGATTATCCTAGAAGAACCCTGGGACACTGGTACCAATGGCAGAAGTCCCAGGATATTGACAGCTATGGTTGACCTGTCTAGGAAGTAGTGGAGAGAGAAGAGAAAGGTTCCCAACTATGGGTCAATGGCCTCTGATCCCTAATCATCTGCAGGCCCCATCCTGCCATTCAATTCAACAAAAATATAGCGATCCAGGGATGCGCTGGAGTCAACTCATACTAGTTCCAGAAAGCCAATTGTTAAATTATCAGCGTGAGCATTTCAACCTAGGTAAATGCTACAAATTA